GAAATTACCCCTGGACGGAGGGTGGCTACAATCCCTTCTCTATTCTCCCGTCAGGATTTTGGGCACACACATGCACCTGCACTGATTTTCAGGATGCCTGGCTTGGGACTTAAACCATGCAGTGAGCTATGTGAGATCTAGTGACTTAACCTTTATGACACCTGCTGGCCCACAAGAATCATCTTTTTAAAATGTAAATAGCTGTTAGAAGATTCAGAGCTTTCAATTAGTCATACTTTAATTTTGACAAGACTACTTTCCTCTCATACCTAGTTGAGGGCAGAGTCACAAAACACGTAAGATTTGGGGACCAGCAGTTAGCGTAATGGCTATGTCGCTGAACTTCCATGTGGTCGACTGTGGTTTGAGTCCCAGACCCGGTGGCTTAAACTCATGCCGAGCATGTGTACGTGCGTGCCCCAGATCCTGAGAGGAGAATAAGGAGAAGGGACTGTGGTGTGGCCATCCCCCCTGGTGGGGTGATTTCTTGCTTTCTCTCTCTCTTTCTCCATCTGTTCTGGCGAGCGCACGCGCCCTATAGCCAAAAAAAAAAAAAAAATCGTCTCAAAAAAACAAAAACAAAAACAAAAAACAAGTAAGATTTAAAAGGGAATGAAACAGTGATTTTGAAGCACAGATCAACTTGGAAGCACACAGCAGGCCTAGAGAGGCAAAGGAAGTTGCCACTGCAGTATATTAGGAAGCTGAGACTTCATTCACCTATCCTGTGGCAGTTTATTCATTTTTTTAAACAAAACAATCTACAAATATTAATAAAATTATGCTTTGTTATAATAGTTATTAGTGCTTTATATGAAAGTGTACCTGTTTATGAGATCGTGCAAAAGGAGCTCTGCCTCCCACTGCAGTTTTCAGAGAGATTCTAGGCAGAGCAGATGTTTTTGTAAGATACAGACTACCTGGCTGCGGGAAGACACACTGACTTTGTTTCTTTTTAATTCGTGTATCCTGTATATCCCTGGCATTCTGAAGACTTGTACTTAAATCTGTTAAGAGAATAAATAATTAGCAAAAACAAAATGGAATGCAAAATTAAGTTAAAATATATTTCCCAGAGGACAAGTGTGCTTGATGAAGAGTGAGAAAGAATCTCTCATGGGGAATGGTCATACCACAATCCTGTTTCCTCCCTTTCTCCATCCTTTCAGAATTTTCAGCATGTATGCACATGTGCTGGGCATTTTTTTTTTTTTTTTTTTATAAATGCATTTGTTTTTAATTTCAAGAAAAAGTTTCAGGTTTTTTTTTCTGAACCTTTAACTTAATTTACATTAATTCCCTAAGCATTGTCACAGCATACAAAATGTGATTTCCCATCCAGAATATACTGCTTAGTGGCTTAATCATGCATGTTCTTATCAAAAATTTTCCATTTCTAGTTTCTAGCATTTTTTTTTTACCCCTATTTCTGACCCTCTGTCCTTTCCTACCCTCTTCTCACACTATCTCTGGTGTCTACAGTTGTCTTCCATTCCTTCCCCCTCCCCATTGTATTGATCACACAATTTCTTAAATAATCTAACTACTTTCAATTTGTCAAAATAAACAAATAATGATGATAATATATTAAATAATTCTTAAAAAACAAAAATAGAAACCAGCAATTGGCGTAATGGCTACATTGCTGGACTCCCATGTGGTCGACTGTGGTTCGAGTCCTGTACCTGGTGGCTTAACTGATGCAGGGCGCATGTGTATATGTGCCCAAGATCCTGAGAGGAGAATAGAGGAGAAGGGATTGCGATGTGCCCCCCCCCCCCCCCCCGGGGGGGGTGATTTCTCACTTTCTGTCTGTCTCTCTCTTTCTGGTGAGCGGACACGCCCTATGGCAAAAACTTCTCCAAAAACAAAACAAAACAAAACAAAAACAAAGGCAAGGGACCAGCAGATGGAGTAATGGTTATATTGCTAGACTCCCACATAGTCAACCGTGGTTTGAGTACCAGACCTGGATGCTTAAAACTCATGCCAGGCATGGTGCTGAAAATCCTGAGAGGAGAATGGAGGAGAAGGGACTGCGGTATGGGTACGCACCCTTGGAGGATGATTTTTCGCTTTCTGTCTCTCTCTCTCTCCAGTGAGCACAGGAGTTCTATAGCAAAAATCTCCTCTCTTTTTAAAACAAAACAAACAAACAAACAAAAGGCAATAGGTAGCTATCTTTGAAAGAAAATATTAAAATAATTTAAACCTAATCCTTGGATTTAGGAAATCTAAAGCACTGAATGAGTTTTAGAAGTGATTAATTATCAAAAAAGGGAAAAATCTTCAGAACAGTATTTGATAAGAAAAACAGATTATTATAAGGCAAAAATTTATCATATAAGTTATCATATAATACCTAGAGGTTCTTCATATTTTGTGAAAATCACAGTTGCTTCTTGACTGGAGTTGTTTTTGTTAAACTGATGTATCTCGCTGTCAATAGTATTTTTACTACCACCAGAGTCATGTTCATCTATGTTCCTTTGGTTTTGTTTCGTTTCCTCTAAATTCATATTCCTGTTCACACACTGCTCTTCTCTGTGAAAACGTGACTTAGGTTTAAAAGGTGGGACAAAGACTTTGGTTGGTTTGTCTGTAGTAATCGAATGCCTTATTTTTTCATTTCTTGTAGCAGAAACTTTATTCAACGGCTGCCCTGAAACTGACAAATTGCTTGAGGATCCTTCCAAAGTCAAGTGTTCATAAAAATGAGATTTAGACAGAAATGCTTGACCAGGTATGGTAAAATTTGGTTCCTGTATTTCTTTTTGTTCCTTAGATGCGCTGCAATGGGGAGAGAATATTTATATTCGATTATTTACCAGTAAATGTATACATACAAATGTTTGGGAATATGCCTTTTGGTGAGCCTCAACTGATTGATACATAGCAATTGAATCCTGCTGTTTTGCATTCCTATGACTGTCATTTCGAAGCAACCCCACACTTTTCAAGGATATAAACATTTCTCACATGCTTATTCCCAGACTTTGCACAGCCTACTTCACACATAATACAACAGCATCTGTTAAACATGAAACCTCTCAGTTTCTCAGTTTGCTTCCTTGAGTTCTATCAAAGTACTCCTTACTTAACTCCTTTAACAAAAAGATCTACGCACCCTCTTCTCTGATTCATGCCTTCATCTAAACTCTAGACCCTGTCTAATAACTCAGTCTCCCCAGGAGCTCTATTTC